TTTGGTAATAATTATTGACATTTGGCTTAATTGAGAGGTTTGAATTTTACCTGCTTCCTTGTAGGATAATAAAAATCCATGACTGGTTAGGAGGAACATTGAAAAAAAGGGGGAGTGGGAACCAAGGGGGAGGAGGTAATCAAAATTATACCAGTCAACTTAAATCAAAACCTCAACTTTTGACCATTATCATTTATAACTAATATTTCTTTCCATTGCAGTAGAAAGCATTGAAGGCTTTCAGGGCTCGCCCTACCCTGAAATTGACCAGTTCGTTCTTTCTTTGGTGAATAAAAATGGCATTAAAGGAGGTAAAGATAATCATATTCTTTATTAACTGTTTTATGATAGAGTAAAAATGCCCTTATAAACATTATTTGCATTTTAGGGATTCGGCGATGGAACTACTTTTTTCCAGAAGAATTATTGGTTTATGACATTTGTAAATATCGCTGGTGTGGAAACATTGGAAGAGCCCACAAGAGTAATAATATCATGTAAGTAATATTGTTTATTCATAAGTTCTACATTTCTAACTAATATTTTTAATATTTATAATTTTTAAAGTTGGAAATATAAAAATGATTGTTTTTATAACATATATATATAAAAGGCTAAATTGACTCGTGCATGCGCGATACATATAAAGCTCTCACTGGTGCCAGTCACATGCATGTATCTAGATCTGTCATTGTCGATCGTGAATTTGGTTTACACTTCTATGATAAAGGGCGAATAGCGATATTAAAATATTTCTTCTAATTTCCTTTCCATGTGTACAAATTTCATGCACCAGGCCACTAGTTTAGTTATACCAGGCAGTCCTTACATCTTACTTGATTTACATCATTTTGTGTTTATGTCACCATCTCCCATTTACAGTATTAAAAAAAAAAAAAAAGTTCCTTCATTTTGACGTACTTATGTGCTTTGTTATTATTTATTTACCACAAGTAAAGGTCAGGGATTATCTTTCTTTTAAATGTTTTTTTTACTATTTCACTTCATTACTATTGTATGTGCTCCGTGTGAATGACATATATACTTACGTAGGTGGGTTCTGACTTACGGCAAAAATCAGTTACATTGCGCTGTAGGAACAGATCTCCAATGTAACCCGAGGACTACCTGTAATTCAATTTATATTTAGTTTGGATATAACATGTAACTTGAATATTTTAATTACAACCTTCCACCCAGCACCTGTCATCTTCATTTGCACTGTATTTGGTAGAATAACCTCACAGATGTATGATCCTGAGAAGGCTAAGGTAGGACGTACTGGGGCTAAAAGAAACGAGACGGTAGATGGACAGTGGTGGAAGGTCTCTCTCCTTCTGTTGCTGTTGGCCTCTGACACCTCACGGAGTCTAAAGCTCAATGGGACAAATTTGGACAAGGAGGAAACGTCTCAGTGTTAAGAGTTGGAGTGAAGGTTATGTTTATGTGTTCAAGACAAAGAATAGTATAGAAGGAAACCACTATTTCCTGAATGCTTGCTGCCCATGCCAAGCAGTTTTAATGTTAGTTTCTTTTTAATCCCCTGGCAAAGGAGAGGAAGTTAAGGATGAAGTAAAACCTGAAAAGAATTTTAAATAATAAAAGGATATGTTTAGAACAGGGATAGAGTAGAAACCCAGTAGTTATCTCTCTCTATAAAAGCCTAAGCAACAGAACGACAAAATGACCAAACAACTGACTGGCCAACCAATCACTCTCTCATGTCTGGTACATGGGCTGTATGTGCTGGACATACAGAGCTCTGACAGTAGATAAACAGCATAATTTCTTATATAGCACTAGAGGCCCAGTGCATGAATTCGTGCACAGTGGGGTCCCTCAGCCTGGCCAGTGATTGGGGCTGAAGGGGGACAGCACTATCTTAATTGGTGGGTACAGAGTCGGAAATATATTTTTTCTTGGGATATATCTATTTTTCCCCCTCAAGTCCACTTTTGTATGATATTTTTGGCAATCAGTTTTCTTTTGCTTGGTGTATATTTTTTACTTTTTGAATTTTTAAGTTTTCTCCATCTTTAAGAATCACCATAACTCTTATTATATAAAGAGCATGTAGCTGAATTTTACTTATCTTATTCTATTAATTTTTTTTTTTTTTTTTTACCATAAAGGATTTTGGTTGATTTGAAAAATGAAGTTTGGTATCAAAAATGTCATGACCCCGTATGTAAAGCAGAAAACTTCAAATCTGACCGTGAGTTATTAAATTTGACATTTAGCACAAAGTGAAGACTAGATGTCTATGTAAAACAGTTTCACTCTTTCCGATTCAGGTTTTCCTTTACCTGCTGAAATATGCCTCCTGTCTCTTCTCAAAGAGGTAAGTGCAGATTTTAGTTTCTCTCCTGACTACTGGGCTCAGTGTATACATGAGCTGTGAGTAGTGTCCAGTTTTTACATGTACTGTGGGAAAATGAGTGGTGTGACTGTTCCTCAGCGCACCCCATCCTTCTGCACTGCTCCATACGGAGTTGTAGATAGCTTTAACCAGTCCCTCTACTAGAAAAGTGTGTTTCTCTAGGAAGTGTACAAAAACACTCATCTTTGTGTTTCTTTAAACCAGATCTGTAGGAAGAATTTCTAGAAGTTGAATTATGTCAAAGGGAATGTATATATTTTAAATTTTGGTAGATTGCCAAACCAACGATTTTCCTTTTAAAATTTTCTTACCCAAAATAATTTACATTCATTGTAGAAAATAGAAAATACATAAAAACCAAAAGAGGGAAAATCATCCTCAGTTACACATAGCACATAGCTGATGTAAATGTTATGGTATACATACATACATACATATATGTATGTATGTATACCATATATATATATATATATATATATGTATGTATACCAAAACACACACAATACATGTACACTCATATATATATACCACGTACACATTTTGTAAGCTTTTATTCCTATCAGAAATATTTTCATAACACATATCACAAATTGCTCTCCACTTCAGGTTATGAGAGCATCTGCTACCCTACATTTTTGCTTTTAATCTTTACCAACCTACTATGCAAAATGGTATTTTAGTTGTTTTAATTTACATTAATTTATTAATGAAGTTAAAATTTTTTTCAGATTTAATAGATTGCCTATAACTGTCCACTTTTTTTTTATTGGTTGGTTCCCCACCCCCTATCTATTAGCCTTATCCTTGAGTGTTATGGTTAGAATAAAAGTTACCCAATATAAGCTAAGTAAGTGCTTGGAAATGTAGTCTCATTCTTAGTCTCTAGAAGCTGGACTAAATAGCTGGTGGCCAGAGTCTGATAAATTTTTAAAAAATAAACTGCCTCTAAGAGGAAAAATATCATCCTTGTTTTACCTGAAATATTATTTTGAAGAAGTGTATGGTTTCAGTGGGTCTGCTTATTTAGTAAAACCTCAGAAATGCCAGGTGGAAGTACAGTTGGTGTACAGCATTACCCCTTCTGTATAAATTGTTTCCATTTTAAACTTTGTCATTTGGGGCTTCTGTAACCACAGACCAGGTGGCTTCTAAACAGCAGACATTACTGCTCGGTTTTGGAGGCTGGGAAATCTCAAAGTGCTGCCTGATGAGGGCCAGCTTCCAGGTCAGAGATGCAGCTGTTATGAGGCACCTGTGTCTACGTCCCACATGGCAGAAGGGAGCGTTCTCAGAGTCTCTTAATAAGGGCACTAATCCTATTAGTGAGGGCTCCACCCTCATGATGTAATCAAGTCCCAAAGGCCTCGCTTCTAAATACCATCATGTGGGTGTTAGGGTGTAACAGCCGATTTTAATAAATCTCTTGAAAGGAGGCTGCAAGCATCAAACCCTTCATCTTAATATTTAAGTTTGTAGCTGGAGAATAAAGGCATTTTATTAAATTCAGAAATTTAATGTTGATACAATACTGTATTCTGATATACAATCCAGTCACATTTTGACAGTTGTCTAAACTTTTTTAAATAGAGAAATAAGTCTGTTCAGACAGCAGATCTACTTTCAATGTGCCCTCAGCTGGGCTATCCACTTAACATCAGCCTACCCCTGCTCTCATCTGCCTGTTTTAGTGAATAGGAGGTACTGCAGGCATTTCCAGGGTTTGGGCAACGGTGGCAGCAATATTTGAACCAGTGAGTTCACTCTCAAGGTGACGGTATCCGAGACACCACCACGTAGCATATTTGCTTGAATATCTGCTGTACTGGCCTTATACCTTCATCCAACAGTTTGCTCCATGAAATCATCACATATTCTGCATGAAGACAGTGTTTTCTCCTCTCCCTTTGGAACTAAAGGAAGAAGAGTTCACAACACACAAAACCATGGACGATGGGACCCAGGCCCCGCATGTGCCATCCTCCAGTGCATCGTCAGGTGTGTGCTCTGACCCTGACTGGGACAGTGACCTTGATGATACTTATTTCCTGGAAGCGACTGAAGATGCTGAATTAGCAGAAGCTGCAGAGAACAGTCTTCCCAGTTATAATGGTGGAGTGGATGAAATTCCTGACGAAGTAATTGTGGAAGTATTACAGAATAGCTAATTAGCTACGGACACTTATAACCAGGTTGTAATTTGCCTCAAGACATTAAATTACAGTAACTTGTTAAATCTGTTTACATCAACTAAGTTTTATCACTTTGCATTCCAATTCTTGATTTTTATTGAAAATTAGATTCAGTGTACTTAAATTCAGTAGAAATCTCTTACTGATTAACCAGAATTAGTTTGTATGCACATCAGCTTAAGTCTTTATGGTACTGGGATTTAGTGTCAACATTAATTTATCATTCAGGACGCTAACCTGGCAAGTGAATTATGTCCTCTCAACTACTGACAGTCAGACTGGTGACTCGGCCACATACCAGCCTGAACAACTAGACACGTTCACTTTCTGACATGTGTCCAGAGTGTGGCTGCAACAAGGAGGAGTTTTGGAAGGCAGCAGGGGTGTGGGACTCATCTTTAGCCAGGCAGGCACGTTTTAGCAGACAGGTCTCATTTCTGGTCCAGGAGTTTCTCCAATTGATGGTTGATATTTTGCAGGTGGCTCTCAGCTCCTAAAAGAGTTCTTTCTTTGAATAACAACGCTGGAAGGCTGGATGAGTCATACTGTTGAAGGAAAATAATTTAGATTAACAAATACTAGTAACTTTTATAACACTTTCTTCCACATAGCTTAAATGCTGATTTTATTAGAGCTAGCCATTAACTCCTTCTCCTCTTTTGAGATAGAATTGTTAGAACATAATTGATAAACTGGTTTCAAGGGAACTGTTCTGTAAGGTTTGAGTTGACCTCATACCAGACCAGTTGTTCAAAGAACTGTGGCGTTTGAATCATGGAAACAAGTCGCTAGATCTCATCTTGTGGTAAATCGCCAACTCCAAATGACTAACTTTGGACTAGTTTGGTACTGTCACAGGAGAAAATATATAAAAACGTCCTATTTCCAGTTCTCTGACCTATAAATAAACCTTAGGTTCCGGAGAATTAACTTTTAGACAGTGTCACAACCTAAAATTGAGCCTGCCTGGGTGGCTTAATTGCTAGAAGCTTCGTTCCATACACCAAAAGGTTGCAGGTTCAATCTCTGGTTGGGGCACATAAGGGAGGCAGTTGATTGATGTCTCTCTCTCCCTTTCTCTCTAAAAATGAATGACTATATTCTCAATGAAAATTTTAAAAAAAACACCTTAAAATTGGATTTAGAAGTGAAGAATAAAATATGATCATCAGCTATATGTATATCATAAATATACATAAATTTTCTTTCTGAAACTTAAACATTTCTATTAATATGAGCTAGTTCTCATAACAGCAAAATCTGCAGCAACTATAAAGTTTATTAAAACAATATCACACTTCCTCCTGTGTTTTTCAATATCATACCTAGCCTTTTATGAGATAGTCTTGTTTTTTCAGATAAAAAACATACTATTATACAAACATAGGCCTGTCTTTAAAACATGTCTGGGTGATCTTATAACAATTATAATAAAGCCTAGTTGTTCATTTGAAATTTGTACAAACAGGTTACTTCCCTGAATGGGATTTGGTTCTCAGAAATGTAAATCTATCTATCTTTATATAAAAACCTAATATGCAAAGTGTCCCCTTGGGAGTTTGATTGCTTTTTATGATATGTGCCGACCACCAGGGGGCAGGGCGGTGTGGGATGAAGGTAGGTCCTGGCCATGCATGAATTTTGTGCACTGGGCCTCTAGTGCCTTCATAAAATAGGTGTTTCAGGAGTCTTCTCTACTCCTCTAGCCTTAATAGCTAAAGCAGCAATGAACGAACACATTTTCAAGGATGTAGAGTGATGCTGTTCTGAGTAGACTGGTATGTTGCATCTATGTTTCTTTCTCAAGTTCTCAGATTCTGGTACTCTGCTTCTGAAGCACAGTGGAAAGTAAACACTGAACTTACCGTTTCCTTTACATTTGGTTGTCTCTCCTGAATGTTGGAATAATCTTGATGAAGCTGCTTTAAATTAGATAAGAAACACGCTGAATTCTTCAGAGAAGATTTTCTCTCCTTAAGTTCATCATATTGTGTTTGCAGTTGTTTCAGCTGTGGTTCTAAACTAAAGCGAGAAAAGAAAAAAGCACACAGCTCAGGCTCCTCTTGCCTCCCGAAGCTGCTATTGTTGCAGCCACACTCTGGACACGTGAGAAAGGAAACATGTCTAGCTGCTCAGGCTGGTGTGTGGCCGTGTCACCAGTCTGACTGTACAGTAGTTTGAGGACATAATTGCTTTGCCAGGTTAGTGTACTGACCGGTTAGAAAAAACAGGAGGTGGACTGGATAGTTTAAGGCATCTTAGGCTCTGAAATTAGGAATGTGAGGAAGATTCTAGATTTTCTATTTAAACTGAAATATGATGCGCAGAGAAGTCCACAGAAGAGAATGCCCTATATCAGTGGTCGCCAGCTGGTGGTCGCGGATCACTGGTGGTCCGTGAGGTCCAAAAGGTTGGCGACCGCTGCCCTGTATAGCCGAAAGCTCATTTTTAGGGTCTCGGGAACTATGGGATTAAAAGCCTCAGGCAGGAATAGACGGGCAAAAGCATGGGCAGAGTCTTCTTTTTGCCCTATCAAAATCTCGTCCATTTCCAAGGTCCATAAAAACGGGGGGGGGGGGGGGGGAGGCAGTGCCTAGATGAACTGTGCGGCCTTGGGGAGCGGATCTACACGGGTGTCACCAGGTACATGCTGCGACGGTACCATTAACCGTGAACACCAGCACTTCCTGCCTGTTCGTTCGTTCGTTCATTCATTCATTCAGTTCTCACAGCTCTGTGAGGTGTAGGTCTTACACTTATTTACAAAGAAGGCAGAGGCCTGCGAGGATAGGTAACCTGCCCGAGGGTGCGAACCCGCGGTGGCAGAGCCGGGACTCACACCCAGGCAGTTTGGAAGAGTCTAGAGTCTCTGCAGGCGGAGCTGAGAGCGGATGGCAGAGGGATCAGTGCCGGATCCTCCTCTGCTGAAAGCGTCTCCGAGTCTGCAGCTCCCAGGCTCCAGGCAAACGGGATGTTTGCAGCCCAGCAGCAGCTTTCCTAACCCAGGACATGTCACAACCTTCCAGGTCAGGCTCAGGCTTCTGATGGTCTCTTACCAAAGCAGTTCATCCTGGACTTCAACCAAACGCTGCCTTTTCTTTTCGATGTCTGAAATCGTCTAAGGAACAGAAATGCCTTTGTTAAGTTAATAAATATTTGAGTGCCACCAAGCACACTGTGGTACAGCGGAAATACAGTGGGAAACAAGACTCCATTCTTCCCATCACGGCACTTTGTGGGAAAAGAGACGTTACATACAAACAGCATGTGATTACAACTTCTGACACGTGCTCTGAGGAAAGCGGGACAGGAAATGAACTCTCCTGACCCTCCCCCCATGTTCTCCCAGGCTGTCCGTTCACCCGGGACGTGGGACAGCTCTTCTCTCAAGGCTTTATTTTTCACATCACAAAAGGGCAAACATGCATTACCCCACACCCACTGGGGCTTCATAGCCATGTCCCTTCCTTAGCGTGCACTGACAGTCCTCAACCACAAGAGCAGATAAAAGCCTGACTAAAAAGATAAAAATCTTACACAAGTCTACTCGCTACCTGAGTTTCTAATCACAAGTGATTTACCTTAGCATTCTTCCTCCTCAGAGTTTTCAACATCTGGACTTCCGCAAGCTACACGAAACAAAATACTGCGTGACGTTTTCCATAATTAAATGTTTGTCAGTTTACAATATAATCACATTCACTTTACCATGTGAAATACTGCTGATTCTAATGAGTTCTCTCCCACACTGCCAGCAAATGCAGTCCTTCCCCAGTATCTGCACGCTGCCTCGGGACTAGTAAAAAAGATTCAGGCCAAAAAAATGTGGCAGCGAACTTACCATTTTGATGAGTTCTTCTTTCATACTAGAATGAAATTTGCCGACTGCTTCCTTGCAAATTTTAGATTCTATTTTTTGTCTGTAACAGATTTTTGTTTAAAAAAGGGATCAAACTAGGTATCAAAAAAAGGGATTGTGAAAGTGTGTTTCATTTGCTTATCACATCAACACAATTTTACATACAGCATTTCATATCTATGTAGGATGGCATGATCAGTCCTTCTCACGCTTAAAAATACTGGAAATGGCCTGAACTGGTTAGGGCCATCAGTGGATAGTCGGCCTGCGGACTGAGGAGTCCCAGCCAGGTTCAATTCTGGTCAAGGGCATGTACCTTGGTTGCGGGCACATCCCCAGTAGGAGGTGTGCAGGAGGCAGCTAATCAGTGTTTCTAACTCTCTATCCCTCTCCCTTCCTCTCTGTAAAAAGTCAAAATACATTTTTAAAAATACTGGAAATGTCTCAACAAAAGAAAAAGAACAGGAAATATTTCCCCCTAAACCCTCGGGTATGGATGTGGTCAGCTACGCAATTTACAATGACTGAAATTTCTTTTGAGAGCCAAATTTTTTAAACTTAAACTATATATAGTAGGTACATTGTTATTAACTTAATTAGGGTGCTCCTAAGCTGGCCTTTACTGAAAACTGAAGGGGCCAAAGAGCCCCATTTGCCAACCACTGGCCTGGGCACACAGGACACTGTAAAGTGTCCTTGTAATTCTTCAGAAGCGACGAGTGCACAGAGCAGGCCTGCGTCTTGCACACAGATCTTTGTATCCAAGCTCTCATGAAATGCGTGTTAACAAGAACTTCCAGGGGCATTAGAGACAGTGAAAGAGGAAGCCCAGGCTCATTCCCCACAGGGAAACCAGCTCTATCAGGCCCTACAGCCGTTATTCCCCAAATCACTAAAAAAGTCCCTCTCTGCCTGGCAAGTTCAAGAACAGCACACAGAAACACTTTATTATTTATTTTTTTTTAAAAAAATATATATATTTTATTGATTTTTCACAGAGAGGAAGGGAGAGTGATAGAGAGCTAGAAACGTCGATGAGTGAGAAACATCAACCAGCTGCCTCCTGCACGCCCCCTACTGGGGATGTGCCCGCAACCAATGTACATGCCCTTGACCGGAATCGAACCTGGGACCTTTCAGTCCGCAGACCGACGCCCTACCACTGAGCCAAACCGGTTTCGGCAGCACACAGAAACACTTTAAATAACGACAGGTAACCACACAGGGGACTTCAACACTGACCGTCAGGACCTGAGAAACCTTTACAGACCCGCCACCCAAAAGCAGCAGAGTCCATGTTCTGCAGCGCACACAGAACATGTCCGTGACATACCACATGTGAGGAGACAAAATAAGCCACCAGTTTAACAAGATTAAAATCATACCAAGTATTTTTTATTCCATACCAGTGGAATAAAACTAGAAATCACTAGAAAAAGGAAAACTGGAAAATTAAAAAAATATATAAAAATTAAACAACACAATCTTGAACAAAGAAATACCAACAAGAAGTAGAAAATATCTTGACACAGCCACAGCCAGTTTGGTTCATTGGAGGGGGCGTTGGCTGGCAGACTGAAGGGTCCTGGGTTCGATTCCGGTCAAGGGCATGTACCTCAGTTGCATGCTTGTTCCCCGGCCTAGGGGGGGATGCGTGCAGGAGGCACCAATCTATGTTTCTTTTACATCAATATTTCTCTCTGTGTGTCTCTTACTCATGAACAAAAATCAATGGGAAAATATCCTCGGGTGAGATTTAATAAAAAAAAATAAAATAAATAAAAAATAAATAAAAGAAAGCAAGCCTCACTATTAAAAAATGGGTAGGTATCACCAGTCCAGGAGATTTGACAACATATTTGAAATAGACGGTTAATACAAAAATATAAATTAAAAAGGCACATATTGAGATATAAACATACTACTCAATAATATGTTAAATAATAGGGTTAAAGAAAAATTATCAGGGAAGTGTAAAAATCTGTGGAACTGAATAATGAGAATACTACGTATTAAAAGCCATGGGATAAGCAAAAGTGGTTTCAAGGAAAATGGGGTACATAGATCGCATCAACACTTACTTATACTCGGGGAGGATTTTCTCAAATGCTGACAAAACAACATCTAAGTCCATGATGTCACTGCTTTTCTTTCCTTTTAGACACCAAATATGTGTACAGTCAGCCATGCCTAGAACATGGTAGTTATTTTGGGATGATGGAATTACAGATGATTTTATTTTTCTTATATAAATTTTCTAAAATAATCATTTTTATAACAAAAATATATAACTTTTCCTTTAAAAAAAACTGAAGTAAATAGAAATGCTTTATTTTCCTCTGAAACATTTTTCAGTAAGCTTTTTAGGTGAATAAAAATGTTGCAAAATAAATGGATGAATCTGAGAAAAGTTATGCTAAATGAAGGAAGTCTTATAGAAAAAAATCACATACTAAATTATGTCTAAAATGAGTATATCTATATGATGAAAAATTAAAATGGATCAATGGATAGCTGACCAAGCAAAAACAATAAATTTTAATAGAAAAATCTAGGTGGTGAGCATATGAATATATATTGTAAAATATTTCACTTTTGCTGTTTGTTGAAAATTTTCATGATAGATGCTGGGGGGAAAAGTTATTCCAAAGGCACATGTTTTTCACTGCTGTAAGGAATTCAGGATTTTTAAATGGAATTACTGAGTAGCTGTCAAACATAACCCACTCTCTGTACCTGAATCCAGGGCTTCGCTTCTTGATTTCTTTCTTTTGCCATGAAATGCCTTCTTTTTCTGAGTTTTCTACAAAAATAACACAGCAAAGAATTTTACTTAAGAAAAGTTTTTTTGTGGGAGGGAGGGAAGGAGGATGGAGGCGGGGAGCGAGTATGAGTATAAGATTTATTTGAGCCTAACTGGTGTGGCTCAGTGGATAGAGCATCGGCCTGAGGACGGAAGGGTCCCAGGTTTGATTCTGGTCAAGGGCATGTACCTTGACTGCAGGCACATCCCCACTGGGGAGTGTGCAGGAGGCAGCTGATTGATGTTTCTCTCTCATTGATGTTTCTAACTCTCTATCCCTCTCCCTTTCTCCCTGTAAAAAATCAACAAAATATATTTAAAAAAAAAAAAAAAAAAAAAAGATTTGAGACAAGCACATGACAATTGCTGGGAAGCAAGTTCATAAATGCTGTTTTCCTTTTCTTAAGAGGATTAAGACAGTATTATCAAACACTGTCAGTTACTATTATAGCCATAATTCTTATTTACTTCTAAGTTAATATTAGTGAATTATATAAATTATCTAAATTGATACAAGGAAACACGGAAAGAAATTAAGCTGTCTCCCTCAAACCCCCAAAAACAATCTTCCAGCTGGTATTTAACAATGGTTGCTTTGGAGGAAGTTGAACTTTTATTATTTAAGATAACGCGTGGAATCAACTGCTTCCAGGTTATGATGGAGTAACAGCTTTGCCATAAAGAACTATAAAATGGGGGTGGGGTTAGCAATTTATCTAGGCATTGGACACTGGGCAAAAAAGCCCCAAGAAACTCAGAAAGTGAACCAAAAAGCACATAACTAAAAGGAAAAGGTGCTTGGTTGGTGTTTTAGTTTCTTGTGGCAGCTATAATAAATTACCACAACTTAGTGCCTTATTCTCCAGCAGTTCCAAAATCAATTTCAGTGGACCAAAACCAAGGTGCTGGCAAAGGCACATTGAGAGCTTAATCAAAAGATATTACATGTCTCCAGTTTCTTGGGATATATTCCAAGAAGTGGGGTCACTGAATTAAATGGGAGTTCCATTTTTAATTTTTGAGGAAACTCCATACTGTTCTCCATAGTGGCTGCACCAGTCTGCATTCCCACCAGCAGTGCACAAGGGTTCCTTATTCTCCGCATCCTCGCCAGCACTTGTCATTTGTTGACGATAGCCATTCTGACATGTGTGAGATGGTACCGCATTGTCATTTTGATTTGCATCTCTCGGATACTGACAGCAATCAGAAAGGATATATGCACCCCTATGTTCATAGCAGCACAATTCACCACAGCTAAGATTTGGAAACAGCCTAATTGCCCATCAGCAGATGAGTGGATTAAAAAAAACTGTGGTACATCTACACAATGGAATACTATGCTGCTATAAAAAAAAGAAGAAACTTTTTTACCATTTGCAACAGCATGGATGGAACTGGAGAGCATTATGCTAAGGGAAATAAGCCAATCAGAGAAAGATAAATATCACATGATCTCACTCATTTGTGGAATATAATGAATAAAATAAACTGATGAACAAAAACAGATCCAGCCGAAACTGGTTTGGCTCAGTGGTAGAACGGCGGTCTGTGGATTGAAAGGTCCCAGGTTCGATTCTGGTCAAGGGCACATCCCCAGTAGGGGGTGTGCAAGAGGCAACTGGTCGATGTTTCTCTCTCATTGACGTTTCTAGCTCTTTATCTCTCTTCCTTCTTCTCTGTAAAAAATCAATAAAATATATTAAAAACAAAACAAACAAAAAAAACCCCCAAACAGATCCAGAAACAGAGAAGCATCAATCAGACCATCAAACCACAGAGGGAAGGTAGGGGAGGGTGGGGGTTAGAGGGAGAGATCAACCAAAGGCCTTGTATGCACGCTTATAAGCCTAACCAATGGACTCAGACACTAGGGGGTGAGGGTATGAATGGGGGGGGGGGGGACACACACACACTATGGGAGGATAAGGACACTTATGTAATACTTTGATCAATAAAGAAAAAAAAAAAAGATATTACATGTCAAAAATCTTAAGAGAACACATGTCCCAGAAATCTTGTAGCAATTTTTTCTAAATGATCTCGGGCGCACACAAAGGTTTAGCTACAAATTCATCAAAGCACTTAACGTTGTTAAAAAGGAAACAGTCACTAGAAAGAGACTGACTACACTATGGCCTCCCATGAATACAATGGCAGGCACTCATTAAAACAATATTCTAGAACACTGAATCCCGAGAACATGGTCCCACTTAGAATGAGAGAAAATTAGTAAACTGAAGGTCAAATCTGGGTGATAGAATTGTAGGATATCTTATCTTCCTTTCTATAGCTTATAAATACTCTAAAATAAAAATAGTTTTATAATGAAATACATAAAACGTCTCTCTTAAAAACTGGAGGAAAGAGAGAAATGTTTTATTTTCCTCCTACACATTTTTTGTTGTTAATCCTCACCTGAGGATTTTTCCATTGATTTTTGGGGAGAGGGGAAGGGAGGGAGAGAGGGAGGGAAACAGATGTGAGAGAGGCACATCGGTTGGTTGCCTTCCTGTACACACCCCACACACCCTGCCTGGACTCTATTCCAGCCAGGACCCTTCAGTCCTCAGGCTGATGCTCTATCCGTTGAGCAACATCAGCTAGGACCCTCGGAAACATTTCCAGTCAACTTTTCTTTCTCGCCAAAAAAATGGCAGGCACTCGTACCGGTCAACTTTCTGTTGCCAGATCTCTTTCTCATAGAGGAGACGGCACCAGAAGGCCCTACCTTTTTAGAAGTGCCAAGTTCAGCTGGTTCCTCTGAAAGTTCTGAAGTTGACGCAGCTTCAGGTTGTTGGCTACCTGTTTTCTCTGCTGGTTTATCCCTTTCACTGCAGCTTTCCGACTCACTGATGGGCTTGAGTTTTCTTCCTCGCTATGTCAAGAAAACAGCATTACAGCTTTAGAAAATACAAATGCTTATCGTTCTTATCGTTAACAGTAGCCAACCATCAAGCCCACACTTCCTCTTTCTAAACTGCAAGATGGAACAGGGAGATGACATGATCAGGGAGTAAGACAGGAAAGATCTCGAGGAAAGAAAGCTCCAAATACTCCCAGCACATCAGTCTGCCTTTGTAAATCACAACCTGAACACATTACATAAACGTTAAAACTGACAAGGTACGTGGAGATATGAGACCTCTGTCATGGAAAATACTTCAGATATAAAAACATTTCACTTATTTAAAAAGGACCTTCTAGCCGAAACCGGTTTGGCTCAGTGGATAGAGTGTCGGCCTGTGGACTGAAAGGTCCTGGGTTCGGTCAAAGGCATGTACGTTGGTTGTGGGCACATCCCCAGTAGGGGGTGTGCAAGAGGCAGCTGATCGATGATTCTCTTTCATCGATGTTTCTAACTCTCTGTTCCTCTCTCTTCCTCTCTGTAAAAAAATCAATAAATACATTAAAAAAAAAAGGACCTTCTAAAGCAGAATACTCATTTTTATCTGCATCCAATGTAAACAGGATATGAACTATTTTATGGAACATTTCCCCTATTGTCATCCAATCTAAGAAGGATATAAACTATCTTAAAAATTAAGGTAGAAAAGAGAGCACTGACATACCTTTTTTGCACTAATTTTTACAGACTCGTTTTCGCTTTCTTCAATTTCCGAAGTGTTCGAACTGCACCAAAGAATAAGCCATCAGTATCTTGCTCACGTTTCATTTTCATTCAGATGTTTTAAGTTGCTTGCCCAACAAGAAGATAAGCTCCATTTAGGGAAACTTCCCGCCTGCCATGGTGGGACGCCCCCTTCCAATATGCACCTGTCATGTGCCACATCAGTTGTCCTTGGTAGACAAGTACTGTTGAGTAACCATTACAGCAGCACCTTGTGGTCACATCTGAGAACTGCACCCTCCTCCAGGTCAGCGCGCCCAGGTCTAGCACTTGTATAAAAGCAAACCTGCACACACCAGGTTTGTCACTGGTGAGGTAAGCGGGATACTCCTTTGTCCTGAGAAAGGTAACCCTACGCTTCGGGTGACAGATGAATTTTTTTGTTTTTTGAATTCAATCCAACACAACAAACATTTAACACCCATCCCAGTAAGCAGAGTACAGAGAATAGAATTACTGTAAACATTCAGAGTCTTCCTTTAAAGGCTCCCGGTGTGGCAGGAAGACCAAAGATAATGCCAAGTGATGACTTAGCAAGCCATGGCCAGAGCAGACGAAGATAGATGGCTGGGGATGAGGAGAGACATCACAGCTCTGACACCTGAGTGGACTTTTGAAAGTACTTTTCTGGGCAGAGCAATACAGGAAAGGGTACTCAAGGTGGAAGGAAAAGTCAATGGAAAGCATGGTGGTGAACAGCTGGCACGCTCACCGATGTGCTGTGACAGAGAAGGTGATGCCAGGGAAGATATTAACAATGTGATGGGGAGGTGGCCATGCAGCCAGAGTGTGCTGCTCAGACCGCCCTCAGCTGGTCAACAGCCGGCAGTGACAGTGCCATCAGGACCCACCTACACCTGCTCCTTTCCCCACCCTCACCCACCTGATGCCAACTCAGAGCGCCATGCCCTTCCGAGGGAACTGCCAGCCACTCTTGGTTAGTACCTCCTGTTCCCTCAGCTCCATGAAGACAGGATTATGCCTGTTTTGAGTTATTAATACAGAGCCTGGCATTTAGTCAGTGCTCAATAAATGCTTGCTGGAAAAATGCCAACATAAAAAGTTACCATTTGAAAGTTTACTACATGCCAACCTGTTTTATTTATTTACCCATATTTTCCGGCGTATAAGACGACCCCCTAATTTTACAGTTAAAGCATAGGTTTAGGCCTATATTCGCTGTATAAGACTACCCCCCACTTCAAAGAAAAGACTTATTTTGCCGTCAAGATCTGCAGGTAATTTCTGTGCAATTTTGGTCTTTTGCCCCCCGATTTTCTGTTGACTTTTTTTCGTTTCAAACGTCATCTTATACACCGGAAAATATGGTACTTATTTTTAGGTCGATACTCAACCACTGAACCACGGTCAGAGAATTTCTTACATGTGAGGATAAAGCTAACATTTCAGTGTATGCTTGTCCAATCTCTTTACAGAAGCAATATATTCGTAAAAAATTAAAAAATGAGATAATACTGCAAAACTTTTTATCGTATGCCAACCTGTTTTAAAAGCCTGAGAGGATGAGCTGATCTTGAGGTAGGTTGCATTATTATCCCATTTTCCTAAGGAAAGAGCCTAGAAGTTAATGACTCAGGCAATGTCTGACCCAAGGCCAAGTACTTCCCAGTGGCAGAACAAGAATCTGAACCAGCACAAGGGACTGAGGCCCCGTCACCGTAACCAGGACACTAGGAATAGGGAATGAATCCAAACCTTCACTGAGTGCCTATCGCGTGTCAGAGTCACATTCTAGGCACCCGGAGCACAGCAGTGAACAGAAAGACATCCTGCTTCTTTAAAAAAAGACCCTCCTATTGGGGAGACACAGTCAATGAACAAATTTAAAAACGGACATAAAATATTGGTTGGTAGAGATAATTCTATAAGAAAAAGATGTATCAGTGAAGAAAGGTGGAATTTTCCGAGGTTTACCCAAGTAGACCGCTGTGCTGACACTTGAGTTCTACAGGAAGCACAGGAGCCCCTGCACCTGCTCCTCTCCCACCCGATGCCAACTCAGGTGCACAGCCGTACCGGTGCACAGAGGCCGCGCAGTCAGGCACAGGGCCTGGCACACGCGAAGGCCTGAGGGGGTGCATGTGTGACATTTGAAGCTGACACGATCCTAAGTGCAACAGGCCAGCCACAGAGGGACAAATACTGTGTGATGTCACCCACAGGAGGGACCCACAACAGGACAATCACAGAACCAAAGCCCGGGACGGCGGCTGCCAGGGGCTGGGGACAGGAAGTGGCCCGAAGTGTCAGGTAAGTTCTAAAGATCTGAACAGTGCTGCACCCACAGTTAACCCACTGCACTGCAAACTCACAGATTTGTTAAAGGGCAGGTCTCATGTTAAGTGTTCTTAGGAAAATAAGATTTTTTTTTGGTATAGCAAAGGTGGAAACTCACTGAAGAGCAAGTACAGACTTTCACAAAAGAATCTCACAGCACAGACTCCTGCCTCGGGAGGGGGAAAGGGTCCCCTAAAATAAGATTTTAAAAAATAATTTTTTAAAAAAAAGAAGCCAAACAACGTTACTTCAGTGCTATTTTCTTTCCAGAGATATAGACCCCCCAAAAATGACACGAAGTTTAAAAATACTAAAAAACAAACAAACAAACAAAAATTAAAAAAGAAAAAATATATTTTAATATCAGTAAAGAGGTCAAACCAACAGGTTATCCCAAAATGCAAAGATGGTTTAATACAGTAAATCTATTCATATTGGTCAAATGAGTAAAAAACATAAAAACACACACACATAATTCCCCAGAGACATGGAAGCATGGGACAGACCGATTTGGGAGGGTAGGAGTGGGGGTGGTAAGGGGCATCTTAAAGAGCTCAGCAATCCCACTGGCCATGAACAAAGCACACGAGTGCAGGACACAAGCGCACCTTCCTTTTGCTGCTCCTCCTCGGGGGGCTGGAGGGATGAAGGAGCAGGAGTGCTCGGAGAGCTCGGCGTCCTCGGTGTAGATCGCAGTGCTGTGCAGAGGCGGCTCTGCAAAGGTCATTACAGCGTGGCGTTAGAATCTGCCTGGCAGGCTTACGGTTGTTCCTTTACAATGGAGCACAGAGCGATTCTGTTTAAAGGGCTAACAAAATCAATTACACCACCCACTTCCCAAATGTTTTTGATCTTACTCCTCAACGATGAAAAACGTAAACCATCTCAGACATAGACATCAGATTAGCCGTCGATGGGCATGTATCAGTGATGGCCTGTATCACTGTACTTCATGACAGCGCTCGGCGGGAGGAAAGATGGCCATCCACAGGACAGCGCTCGGCGAGAGGAAAGATGGCCATCCACAGGAGGCCGGACGTTCTCTCCTCCCCGGATGGAGCCACGCTCACTGCACTGTCAGCTCCAAGGCCCAGTGCCCGCTCAGAGTGGGCTCTCGGACTGATGGCCCTCAGGAGGGACCCCAAGCCCCCCTCCCCTCCGCCCCCCACATTGCTACAGCCCTGAGCTGACATAAGAAGACGGAAGAGGAGACCGAGGGGCCATGGTGGAAAGGCACGGAGGAGACGCTGTGCGCAGGAAAGAGGCTCGCAGGGGGGCGGACAGGGGGGCTCCGGGCAGGAAGCTGGGGGCCGTGGGAGAGGAGGATGCTGATGACAGCCAAGCCGCCATTTCTTCATGCTCACATGTTAGCATGACAGTGCAAATTTGCACATCTTTTCAAACAGCTGCTTAAATAATGAACTTATCATCAACTGCACAATTTTTAAGTGAGCAATATAGTTTGTATTGGCCCCCACTAGGCAAAGGGAATTTACTGCTGGGGATAACAAGGAAAAAAAGAGAAATAGATCAATCCTGAATCTCCCTATGGAACCAGCCATCCAAACTGGACTCTTAGAACGAACCATGAAAAGATAAACCCCACGTTCTGTGCCATTTCTGGCCTCCGGAGTGGGCAGTGATGTGGACAGAGCTGTCCCTCTGGCTACACTGCTGGGCAGCCAGGCACCAGCCCGCTTCCCCAGCCAGGACAGGAAGCTCTCCCTGGCTCTGCAGCTTCCTCTGCCTCACTGTGTTTAAGGGGAAAGCACCCCCCTCGTCTCCCTAAACCCAAGTCCCTTTCAGACACTACACGGGGCTACGGGATACGCCTGGCTGAGCAGATGCTGCTAGAAGGCCTCTACTATGATAATGTCTAACAGAGTTCCTAGTTCCAATGTGCTCAGAAGTGAGGAAAATTCATTCACATCACAACACTGCCCAGAACATTGTATTCATATGCAGACAACTGAGTTTTATATTTGAAGATATTTCTTTTTATTACTAACTAGCCTAAATGCTATTGCTTCAACTGTAGGGAGCGGTTATAGGGTTAAGCCTCAGACTGACCTGCTGGCAAAGTCGCAAACAAGTCCCAGCTGGGAGGGCAAAGTCCTCTAAGCATAATTGAGCTTGATCTTGTGACTGCTCCCCAGATCTTTCTTGGTAGCTAGTGGGCTGTGGGAGGGGCAGCAGGTGCTGCCAAAACAAGTGAAACTCACAACAACATTATAAATTACCGTGTTTGCCCCTGACTATACATAAAGCCTCAGCTTTGCAGGCTGGGTCTGTTCTGTGGCCTCAGCCAGGCACAGGAGATCCGCCTGGACCCAGGTTATTCTCTTTGTCTGTCTCTTCTCCATCCTCCGTCCTCCTTGCTCCGGCCGCCGAACCCTTGGCTGTGCTGGCACGACACATTCAACTACTTTGAAGTTTTTAGGATGAAGGCTTGCAATACTAACCAAAGGATTCATAAGGTTCTTCATCTTTCTCGTTGTCGCTCATCCTGCCCACGCTCGAGATTCCAGAATTCTCAGAAAAATCATACACGTCAGTGGGCTTGTGGGGCTGGCCGGCTTTCTAAAAGGGAATGTGGTCGGTCACTGAATTGGCTTTACGAACAAGAACAGCACAAAACTGATGGACTTAGTAGCAAGGAGAGTGGGCGTGGCCGACTGCCCTGACGTCTGAATTCATACCATTTTCACATGCCCTGGGCTATTTCCTGCTTTATTGTGACCATTTGGAAACGTGGAAACCAGCAGGGGCCACGGTCCATGGGTTGCCAGCTCCTGGTCTACAGACAGTGACAAACCTCCACCCAGAACACCCGCACGGGTCTGAAGGGCCATCAACAGCTCTGAGGACGCCCAGGATTAGAACTCCACATCGAAGCAGGGTCAGGGTTTGCAGTTCAATATACTAATAAGCCCCATCAAGTTTGCTACCCAAAATCCCCACGAAAGACCAAACAGAGAAAATGAGAAAAGCTTCCACAGTAGCTCTGGAAAACAGATGAGAAAATTCTGGAAGATATAAACAAGACGGAGTAAAGCTGACAAAACAAAAACTTGATCACTGACACCCCCTTTCCCCCCCTGAAAATTATTCAAGGGGTGCTTGGGATGGAATGCCCGAGAAGAGGCAGGCAGATCCTCCCTCCTGAGGCTAAGGGGCCCAGCACACAGCTCGTCCCACAGGAGGGGAGGGCGCTGGGACTCCAGCTAGGGGCCTGGGAGCAGGTGGCAGCGCACACTGGACTTCGGGGCAGGGAGCAGAGAGAGATCCATGCGAAGAACAAGCACCCAGGGCTGCTGGGAGTGGAGAGCCCAGGCACGCCTGCAGAGCACCCCTCTTTGGGGGCCTCGGGGCAGCAGGCAGGAGGCCACACAGGACAGACAGACAGACAGCCAGGGTGGGACAGAGAGCAGAGAGGACTCCCTGACCGGCAGCCTGAAAGCAGGCACCTTCCTATGGGTTAGGGTGCATTGCCAATGCCAACGGACATCCCTGGAAAGTCATCTGAAACTGGCTACAAGGGTGTGAAAGCCATGTCCCTGCCTTTATCTGACTTAGTCTAAGACCCTACGGGAAAGTAAAGCTATAATGAGGACTCAGTGGAACACGGTGAAACCATGCACAGCTGTTTAAAACTGTAACACAGAGAGAAATGGCCACGAAGGAAAACAGCAACACACAGAAAGCTGTCTCCTTTTACACAGCGCCAGTTATCCAAGTGAAAATAAAACCAAGCTGGGTCGGGGAGAAGATGCAAAGCGTTAACGACTTTCTCCATCCCACTGGAAGCAGCGCAGGCAGAGGAAAACAGTTCCCCCCGGGACCTCTCCGTGGCCGAGGCTCCCACCACACAGCCATCGGTACTGTCCAACACGGGGAAAACCATACAGGAAAGAGAAACAGGTTACTTACATCTCCCGTGGAACGTGCTCTCCCTGCAGTGTTCTTGGAATACCTCGCACTATTAAACAGCAAAACACACACCAAAGTTAGGCAATAGTTTTAAAATCACCGGGAAAACACTGTAACTTGCAACCCTTTCCAGACATGTTCTTGCCAAACTCCACTTCTCACTCCTTGCATTCACAGCGTGCAACACGATGAGCTTCAGGCGATGACAACATCGATTTGGAAAGCGGAGTCCCCATCTCACCGTCGTTTTTAAAAAGGACACACGAGAGAGAATAAGACTGCGCCGGACACAGCGTGCTCACTCCCCTTGGGTTATATATGAGCACGTGTGCGTACTGGTTGTGATGTTCCTGTTAATGGAAGTCAGCAACAGGCTGGAGAACTGGTTAAAGCTGTGGTTCTCAAACCCCAGCACCAGGCTCACCTGGAGGCTTGCTCACCAGGTGGCAGGGCCCCGCCCCACGGTGCCGGATCCCCTAAGTCTGGGACGGGTCTGAGATGCCTCTCTAACCAGTTCCTGGAGCTGCCACGCCGCTGGGCAAGGAACCCCACCTGGACGGCCACTGCTTTAGCTGTTTTTCAGACCCAAAGGGGACAGAGCAGGGGCCCACTTCGTGATATTTGACGATGTGGGGGTGCAGGTGAGTTGAGTGACTTAAAACAGGACTGGAAGCCAGATGCCTAGCTTCTTAACCTACACTCTTTCCACTGTCTCTTGCCTTAACTGTGCTCCCCAAAAAGGTCGTTTCTTTCCTTCGGCAAAGGGGGGGGGGGCGGGGGAACGAGATTTCAAAAAAAAAAAAAAAAAAAAAGGAACCCCCTGGGATACTATGTGTAAAAGTCTTGCTGTAGGCACACCAGTGCATTTTGGGAGGAGGGATGAACAGGTTTCCTGAGTCTCAAAGCGGAAAATAATGTTTACATATAAATACATAAATAAGATGGTGTATATGTCACGCGTAAGTAAAGACGTTATATATAAAAAGCGGCAGCTTTGACGTCCCCTCCCCTCCCCAACCCCGCCGGGATGCGGTTCAGCTCTAAGGTCGGTGGTCTGTGTTACAAAAACAAACAGCAAGCGCTTCGGAAAGAAGACTCCTGACTACCGGCCGGAGCACACGCCGCGGGCCAGTGTGTTCCGAAGTGTTCCGAGTCCACTTTCCACTCACCCACGCAGGGGCAGGCTGACGCTGGCTCCCCTCCTTGCCTTAACCCCACTGAGGGTCCACGGCTGACCCTGTGGGGTGGGGGTTATTATTCCCATTTCACAGACGGGAAAACCGAGGCCCGGAGCCATACGGAATAACTAACGCAACGGCAGAGCCGCCAGGGGCACACGCCGCGGGAGGAGAGAGGATAACAGCGGCCTCGGGCCGCAGCACTTACCCCGCGCCTCGCCGGGCCCGCACCCGCCCCGCGGAGGCCATCCCCGCCGCCGCCGCCGCCGCCGCCGCCGCTCTCCCGGCCCGCGGAGCCCGCGAATCTCCCGCCAACACCCGCGCCGCTCCGAGCAGCCAATCCGGGAAAAGCGCACGCGCACGCACCACGCCCCGCCCCCAGCCTTATTTACCAGCGTCCACGAGGGCCCCGCCCCGTCCTAGAGCGCGAGGGAAAACGCGGCCTGGTATCCACCAAACCGCGGAGCTGGAGTCCACGTCTTACAACCGGCTGCTGACAGTCCCGACGCCGAAGATCTGCCGAGCTTTCCCTCCCACCCGCGCCTGCGCCAATTTTCGGGGCTCCGCGGCTCGGGAACCGGAAATGGGAGGACCCCGGACCGGAAAGTCAAAGGGCTCTCGGCCAAGAGGCGGGTCCAAACCCTGGGCCTGAGCGCCGGCTGCTGGGCGCCTGCGCAGTTGTCTGGTGCAAAGCGGTGCAGAATGGGCTGGGTTTGACCGGGGTGTGAGCTGGGGGTGTTTCTTTTTTCTTTTTTAAAATATATTTTATTGAGTTCTTATAGGGAGGAAGGGAAAGAGATAAGAGAAATACCGATGAGAGAGAAACATCGATCAGCTGCCCCCTTCCTCTCCCCCGGATGTGCCTGCAACCAAGATACATGCCCCCCCCCTTTTTTTAAAAAAAATATATTTTATTGATTTTTTACAGAGAGAGGGATAGAAAGTTAGATACATCGATGAGAGAGAATCATCGATCAGCTGCCTCCTGCACATCCCCCACTGGAGATGTGCCCGCAACCAAGGTACATGCCCTTGACCAGAATCGAACCGGGGATCTTTCAGTCCGAAGACTGATGCTCTATCCACTGAGCTAAACCGTTTTTGGCTGGGTGTGTTTCTTAATTCGTCCTTGGGAGGACCTTGCAAAACAGTGATGCTGGGCCCTCATCACACCATAGATAAAAATGAACTCAGAGTTGGCCAAAGGCTCCACCTAGGCGCTAAAAGGATGGTGCTGTTAGGGGAAAGCCCAGGGCACAGCCTGGTGACAGGTGATTCAGCCAGGATTGCTTGGATGTGCGGGCCACGTCCGTATGGGATGATGGAGAGTCATGGCAGCGGGTGGCTGTGGAACTATGAGAGTGAAGGTACAGAAGTACAGCTAAATGTGGTTAAAATGCTAAAAGTGGTTACAATGCTAACTGTTACGTTAGGTATATTTTGCCGGTGTAGAAAATGATGAACATCTTTCATGCATACAGAAGAATCTAACATGATGTAAATATAAAAAGAAGCGCCCATATACTCACCACTGGGTTAGGAGATAAATCATTATCATTCCTCCCCAGGATAAATCTGATCATTCCCAGGCTTTTCTATCTATTAAGCATGTATTCCTAAATGATGTGTTAATTATTGAATGTTTCTAAACTTTATATGAACATTTGGTATGTATGCTACAAGGGCTCTTTCTTTAAAAAATATTTTATTGATTTTTTTTTTTTTTTTTTTTTTTTTTTTTTTTTTTTTTTTTACAATGAGGAATAGAGAGTTAGAAACATCCATCAGCTGCCTCCTGCACACCCCCTACTGGATATGTACCTGCAACCAAGGTACATGCTCTTGACCGGAATCGAACCTGGGACCCTGAGTCTGCAGGCCAATGCTCTAGCCACTGAGCCAAACCAGTTTCTTGCTCAAAGCCATGATTTATCCACATTGCTGCATACGGCTGTAGTTTATTTTCACTCTTTGTAATGCATTACACAAATATACTACATTGTAGGTGTCCATTCTCCTGGGCAAGGTTATATCAGTTGTTTTCAGTATTTTGTTTGTTTTTTGCTGTTACCACCATGCAGCACTAAACAGTCTGTGTGTTGCAGGATGCATGTCTAAGAATTTCTGTAGGGAGAGACTCAGTGGTAATACTTCACCTCGTTATTGAAAGGCATTTTCAGCTTTGCATGATAATGCCAATTTTTACACATTGTTGTATCGACAACAATTTACACCCTCACTAGCAGTATATAAAAGTACCCTTGACTCCATATACTTGTTGATACCTAGAACTTTTTTAGACTTTCACAATTTTTACCTACCGTACTAGTGAATAGTACCTACTGGTTTTTTTAATTTGCATTTCCCTGGAGTTGGTCATCTTTTTTTTTTTTAAATCCTCACCTGAGGATATTTTTTCCATTGATTTTTAGAGAGAGTGGAAGGGAGGGAAAGAGAGAGAGAGAAACACTGATGTGGGAGAGGCACATTGATTAGTTGCCTCCCCTAGATACTAGTATATGGAAGGGCTTATCATTTCTTATTGTGCCTCTGCTTATTTCCCAGCGAGCTCTCCTGTTGGATTTTCTGTTCAGCATGTGCCCACTAGAGGGCAGATAAAGAACGGGACAGGAGATTTGAAAATGTATTTGGAACCGAGACCAGTTTGGCTCAATGGATAGAGCGTCGGCTTGGGGACTGAAGGGTCCCGGGTTCGATTCCAGTCAAGGGCATGTACCTTGGTTGCGGGCATATCCCCAGTGGGAGGTGTGCAGGAGGCAGCTGATCGATGATCCCTAGTGGGGGTTGTGCAGGAGGCAGCTGATCGGTGACTTTCATCTATGTTTCTAACTCTCTCTCTCCCTTCCTCTCTGTACAAAATCAATAAAATATATTAAAACAAAAAGAAAGAAAATGTATTTGGAGACCAGACATTGTAAATATTAGTTCAAAGTCAGCTCAAGATGAATAAGACTCGATGTCTTCAATACCCTTGCTCAACTCATTCCCCTCCTTCTGGTGCATTATCCTCTTCCCTAATTGATCACATCCATTCCTGTAAGTTTCCTTTAAAAAGAGTATGGTTTTCTACTATAAAAGAGAACACAGTTTACTTTCAGATTTTTTTTTTAATATATTCTATTGATTTTTTTACAGAGAGTAAGGGAGAGGGATAGAGGTTAGAAACATCGATGAGAGAGAGAGAAACATTGATCAGCTGCCTCCTGCACCCCCCCACCCCCCACTGGGGATGTGCCTTCAACCAAGGTACATGCCCTTGACCGGAATTGAACCTGGGCCCCTTGAGTCCACAGGCTGACGCTCTATCACTGAGCCTAACTGGTTAGGGCTATTTCTCAGCTTTTTCAACGTTGCTTTTTAACTTTCTATAGAACCAACTAATTCCTGGTACATGGGAATAACCCGCCGAACTTGGCAATCTTCCTCAGGAAGAAACGAAAGGCATTATCTGTTGTAAACAGACCAACGGCTCAACCTCGGTGATCATGATGCAGCAAAACAGACCCCGCTCCCCGGCAGGCGGGCCAGGGTGAGGCTGGGAAGGAGCCCTGCTCCGGGAGGTCCCCTTTAAGGAAAGAGGAAAGGAAGTTCAGAAAGGTCATCCTCTTCGGTGGCCGTGAAACTGGGGGCAGGAAGGTTTTTCCACTGTGGCCAACGGCAGGGACACGAGATGGAAAAGCCTCCACGGGTCACATGCTTCTGCCATCTCCCTGGCTCTGAGCGGCCGGTCAACTTGTTTGCCCTGTAACTAATGTACTTTTTCCAGACCCAGCTGGCACTGCCCCTGCCAAGCTGAGGTCACATGGCTAAATCGGTCTGACTCAGTCACATGTCTCAGATTCCATTCCCAGCGCCCTGCCTGGCGGGGGCTGCGGCTGAGGCTGGGACCGGGGTCCGGCAGGTGCATTCCAGCAAATTCCAGGACTTCTCCTTCCAGTCAGGGAGCGGCTGACTTCCAGCCTGCATGGGAAGTAACTTCACAGCTCACGTGGGCGGAGAAAATAAAATAAAAGGACAGCCCTTTTTAACTATTTTCTTAAGAAGGGAAGCCTGGACCGGTTTGGTTCCGTGAATGGAGCTTCGACCTGTGGACTGAAAGGTCCCGGGTTCGATTCCGGGCAAGGACATGTACCTTGGTTGCGGGCACATCCCCAGTGGGGGGTGTGCAGGAGGTGGCTGATCGATGATTCTCTCTCATCGATGTTTCTGGCTCTCTGTCCCTCTCTCTTCCTCTCTGTGAAAAATCATAAAATATATTTTTAAAAAAAGAAGAAAAGATATGTACACAGATAATAATTTAATAAAAAAAAAAAAAAGAAAAGAAAAAGAAAAGAAGGGAGGAGGGGTCCCAGAATAAGATTTCTCTTGCAGAGACACGTCTCCACGACCCTCACTCAAGCTGTGGTGGAGAACTCTCCTAAAAGTTTTCACCCTTCAGGGACCTTGCTTCCAGGATACCCATTCTCGTGGCCTGAGGCCGCAGGCAGGGGTGCGGCTGGCCTGGTGCAGAGCCCCGGGCAGCTGCTGTCTTTATTCAGGGATCCTTCCTGCTCCCCAAGACCCGAGCGGTGGGAGACCCATCGGACACCGGCTGGCTCGGGGAGCCCCGGGGGACAGAGAGCCTTGGGGTGAGCTTCTCCAGGAGGACAGAGCTCCCCCACTCTCCCGCTGCTACCCTGAGACGCCCAGGCTCCCTGACTCTCCCCTTTGACCTTGGCACAGGTAGAGGGATCGCTGCCCTCTCCCCCCTCCACCGCTCACCGCTGAGCTCCCCGGCCAGAGGAGGCCAGCGGAGGCGACCCCCACATCGTCCCTGCGATGGAGGAGGAGCCCCCGGGCCAGGGAGAGGGCGTGCTCCTGGGAGGAAGCCTGCACAGGCCCAGCGGGGAGCCGGAGCGGGGAGCCTGCTGGGAGCTGGAAGGTCAGTGTGGCTGGAACAGAGCTGGGGACACAGCAAACGATGAGGCGAGGGCCGTGGTCGGCAAACGGGGCTCGAAAGCCACACGCGGCTCTCCAGCCCCTTGAGTGTGGCTCTTCCACAGAATACCACAGCCTGGGGGAGTCTATTTTGAAAAAATGGCGTTAGAAGAGGTTTACGTTTAAACAATGTGGCTCTCCAAAGAAATGTCAATCGTTGTCCTGTTGCTATTTGGCTCTGTGGACTAATGAGTTTGCCGACCGCTGGTAGAGACACAGCGGTGTTAGCATCGCCCGGAGCTTATTCGAAG